TCCAAGATTGTCCCAAAGCCCCTCCCTGGGGGGGGGGGGGGGGGAAACCAGATAAAAAACCTGGGAAGAGAAGGGACACCACCATGAAGGGGGTGGAACCTGCTGCACAATTCCCTCCCAGTCCAAGAGAAGAAAAACCATCCTTCTCATCGGGAGAAAGGGAAACTGAATCTGATGACGACCGTCTGGTAAGTTCCTGATCGGGCCCCATGACCATCCCAGTAGAACTTAAAGTGCCCTCTACTGGAGCCCAAGCAAAAATGCTGGCCCTTTTAGATTCGGGATACACACGTTGCATCGTTAGCTCGGAAGTGGTGGAAAAGCTGGGCTTGAAACTGAGAACTTTGAAAAGCCCCATTGCTTTTTGCCAGCTAGATGGGTCTATAGCTGGGGGGGGGCTCCTCCCATTTTGTGACTGAACCAATAGACATGTGGATGGAAGATCACCAGGAAACATTAAGTTTCATTGTGGCGCCGGGAATGGACTGGCCTCTCATACCGGGCTTACCCTGGTTACGTAAATGGAACCTACACATCAACTGGAAGAAAAGGTGGTTGCGCATCCGATCTGCTAAATCCCTAGCGGGAGAAGTGAGGGTTTCCAATATTACCAATGCTGAACATAACCTAGCGGCTGAGGTGCAGGAAAAAATTGAGGGGGAGGAGAAAATCCTAAAAGAATATTGGGACCTAAGGGTTGTTTTCAGTTAAAAATCCTCTGATAAATTATCCCCTCACCGTGCAACGGATTGCAGCATTGATATCCTCCCAGGCGTAAAATTTCCGAAACCCCAGATTTACTCAATGACCCCACGCGAAATAGAAGAATTACAGAAGTTTATTGACAAAAATTTTAAAAAGGGGTTTATTGAACCTGCTAGGCCATATGTGGCCACTCCAGTGTTGTTCAGAGAAAAGAAAGATGGCTCCTTTCGTCTCTGTGTTAATTACAAAAATCTTAATGCAGTATGCGTGCAAAATGCTTACCCCCTCCCTCTGATGAAGGATATGTTGGCCCAATTGGGTAAAGGAAAGATCTTCACACCCACTTGGGTGTTTTCAATTCAGAGTAGCCATATTTGGCCTACAGGGGGTGCCAGCTGTTTTCATACAATTAATAAATGAAGTTTTACATGAAAACCTGTACAAGGGCATGATGGTCCACCTTGATGACATCCTTATTTACACAGAAACACGTGAAGAACACGTGACATTAGTATGATCAGTACTCAAGAAACTCCGGGCCGCAGAACGTTATGCCAAATTGTCTAAATGTGAATTTCATCAAGAAAAAAATGATCACTTGGGCTACTGCATCTCCCACAACGGCATCAAGATGGACCCAGCAAAAGTCCAGGCTGTCACTGAGTCGGCACTCCCTTGCACCTGCAAACAATTACAAAGTTTTTTGGGATTTGTGAATTTTTATCATCAACTTATCCCATCATTCGCCAGCATTGCCCTGCCCATTACAAATCTCCTAAAGTCAAAAGGGGAGGCCAAGCCCAGATTGGGTAAGCCTTTGAATTGGACTATGGAGTGTCAAGTCGCTTTCGAGAAATTAAAGCGACTCTTTGCAGCTGAACCCGTTTTGAAACACCCAGATATGGATACACCATTTATCGTTCAAGCTGATGCCAGTGATGTGGCGGTGGGGGCAGTATTACTTCAAACAAACGCTGATGGGAAATTGCAACTATGCACTTACGCCTCTTGCAAACTGACGGAGATGGAGAGACGATGGGCTATATGGGAAAATGAAGCTTTTGCGGTCAGGTGGGCTTTGATGACCTGGTGACATTTCCTAGAAGGGGCTAAACACCCTTTTGAAGTTATGGACTGATCATAAAAATTTGGAAGCGTTGAAGACCCCTCGTAAGCTATCTCCTAAACAAATGCGTTGGGTGCAATATTTCAACCGGTTCAACTTCACCCTCAAGTACATCCTGGGGGAGGGGCGAGAGAACTTCACGGCTGATGCTTTATCTAGACTTCCACAATACAACAGCTCTAAGCTGAGCATAGTTATGGTTTATGGTTTATGGTTGTTTATTTATATGCCGCCCTTTTCCCTGGGGGGACTCAGGGCGGCTCACAATCTGAAGCCACCCACGGTACACAGGTATCCTTCCTGGGACTTACACAAGATGTTGGATGCTCTGACCGCCCCCCCCCCCCATTCGAACCATTACGAATGATTTCTCTTAAGTTCTTGACACTTAAGGTGGCCTTTTTGGTGGCTATCACCTCCGCCAGGAGGATATCCAAACTACAGGCACTGTCTAGCAGGGAAGATCTCTGCGTATTTCACCAGGACAGGGTGGTGCTACAGTTGGACCTTTCTTTATACCTAAGGTTGGGGGCAATATGCTGACTCTGTAAACCGCTTAGAGAGGGCTGAAAGCCCTATGAAGCGGTATGTAAGTCTAACTGCTATTGCTATTGCTAAAGTCTTCCATTAGTTAATTGTTCTCTCTGTTAAGAAATTTCTCTTTAGTTCTAGGTTGCTTCTCTCCTTGATTAGTTTCCATTCATTGTTGTTTTGCCTTCTGGTGCTTTGGAAAATAGGTTGAACCCTTCTTCTTTGTGAAAACCCCTTAAATGTTGGAACACTGCCATCATGTCACCCCTAGTCCTTCTTTTCTTTTCATTAGACTAGACAGGGGTCGGCAAACTTAAACACTCAAAGAGCCATTTGGACCTGTTTCCCACAGAAAAGAAAGCACCGGGAGCCACAAAGCTCCTGACCGGAAGCCCCCTGTTCAATTCTGGAGCTGACCGGAAGTTCAGTTC